TGTGTGTGTGTGTGTGTGTGTGTGTGTGTGTGTGCAGCTGCAGGATGGATGTGGATGAGAGCAGGGTGGCTGTGGGGCCTCAGCAGGGCGTTTGTTCCACAGACTGGGAGGCTCAAATCTGCATCCTATGTCAGGAGGAGCAGGAGGTTCAGGCTCAGGCACCAGCCATGGTCCTCACAGCATGTGTGCAAAGATCTACTGTTCTCACCCAGAACCGTGGAAAGACACTCTCCCCTAAAGGTGAATGATGCCTCATACTTTACCTCTCAAGTACCTTTATTGTGATAAGCAGGAAGTGTTGACATTAAGCATGTATGAATTCCTTGCACATGTTATGATGATTTATTATTCATTTAAGATGTAAGCATTACCGATGGGAATTCTGCTAATGTGATGCTGAATCAGACTGTTTTCTCTTCTTTTTTGTAAAACGGTAGGCAGCTATCCCCTGTTCATGCCCCCTGATCTGGCTGTGGGGACACACACCGGCAGCTGTGGGCATGTGATGCACGCCACCTGCTGGCAAAAGTCAGTTAATGCTTAAATAAAAAAAAAATTCATTTGGGATGCTTAAACCAAACAAATCCACTCAGCCTTTACATCTTCATGTCTTTTTGCTGTTTGTAGGTACTTTGAAGCTGTGCAGAACACCACTCGGAATCGGCTGCATGCAGATCTGATCATAGACCTGGAGAACGGCGAGTACATGTGTCCACTCTGCAAGTCCCTCTGTAACACGGTCATCCCACTGATCCCTGTGGAGCCCAGCAAGCTTAACTAGTACGGCACCATTACTAACCTTATTATGTTTAATTTCAGGTGCTTACACTGGGGTAAGTCAAATCTATATATTTTTTTGTCTCCCTGTCAGTGAGAGTGCTGAGTTAGTTGGTCAGCATCTTACTCTGGAGCGCTGGATTCAGATTTTGTCTTCTCGGATCAGAGGGCTGAGAGGTACATGGGAAACGGGTGAGAGTCAAAACTGATTTGTGCCTCCTGAATTTCAGTGTCAAGATACTGTCTCTTTAATTCAGATTGATTTAT